AGCGTTCTCGTCAACGCTGTCGGAGCCCAGACGCATTTCGCGCAAAATGGTGCGATCCTAGGGTATGGTCGAGGGCGATCGAATAGAATTTTTTGTGCTGCTTGGGGAGATTTTCTCCCCGCTGCGTTGAAGCGGGATTAGCGTAAACGTTCGGCCTATTCAGGTGGACCTCCACATCTATACCATTTGTAGTCTCGCCGGAGAGCCTACCACGATATACCAAGATTCCTTGGTAAGGGCCGATCGGGTCTAACGCACACTTGGTGCAAGCACTGAGGGGCCCGTGCCTATCAGTGGAAGGCGAGTGAAAACGGTAAGCTTTCAGATTCCGTGGCCTGATAAAGATCCTCCGATTTAAGGTCGCAGACTCCGTCTCGAACTTGGCAGTCTGCATTCGTCCTGGCAGCGTCGGGTGACTATCTTCAGTCCGTGGGGGCGACTGTTTTGCCCGCGGTATGGCCCTTCACTGGTGAAGAAAGGAGTGGGTCCAACTCGTCAGGTCCGATTGTTCGGGTCGTCCAACATGGAGGTGCCGTGTGGGTCGGAACTAAGACCGTCTGAATCAAGCATGGTCTCGTCCGTATCAGATGCCTATCCCTCCCAATTTATCTTTCCTACGTCTGGACGTGTGCGGGTGACTGGTCGTTTGCCTCCGGCCTCGTTAACCGAAGGTACGCGCTCTGTTGTAGTTTCCGTGCGTCGGACGCCAACTTGAGGCTCAGGATGCAGTATGTCGAGTGTCCGGTTTAACTACCGTCTGGTCCTACTCCTATGGGGAGTTTTACAGTTGCGACATCATGTCGTAATTAATGAAGGCCAAATAATCCACGGGCACTTGCCAAATCGAGGGGAGAAGTAATCGGATGGCCGCGTATGAGGTGCTGTTGCGTCCACACAAAGTAGGCGAGCTTTACAACAAAAAAAACAATGGGAAATGGTTGTAGATTTTCCACGTCTGCATGGAATATGTCGTTTACGGCGCTGACATGGTGTTTAATTACGTGGAATTGCCTGTGTCCCAGCGAACGTAGTTTTCAACATGTGTCGTCTTAACTGACAAACTAAAGACCCGTGTCGAAAACAAAATTGAGCACATACCTTAGATCAAGTGTGTCCCTTCATCTGTCGGCCACGGAAGTATAAATATAGCAGTGTTGGACCAAAACTCCGTCTCAATTTCTGTTTCCTTCTGCTCTGGGGTTTCAGTATGTCTGGATGAAAATGACGGTGAGTTAGAAGTGGTGCCTTAGCAACCATTGCATTTATCGGTACAAAGTTACAACTCCTGAGCACCTGTCGTTTTGTGAACAGCTATACGCGCGAGACAGGCGAACGCTCCCTACCATTGCATATATCCGATCAAAACCGAAAGGCAACGTGCTCGTGGCCCAGTGGTTAGAGGTGTTGATTTCTAACAAACAAGTCGCGAGTTCGAGCCTCGGGTGTGCCATACTTGGGGGTTGGGTATGACGGCTGACGACGGCTTAAAAGTCGAAAATGGCCATTTCAGTCTCCCCTGACTTTTTTTCGGTAATAACATGCTGCAGATATATATATATATATATATATATATATGTACTGGAAGATGGGCATCCCAAGAAACATAATTCGAAGAAGAATGAGTCCTTTGGGAAAATGAACAAACTTTATTTCGTAAATTTTCGAGTCTGGTTCCCCAGCTCGTCTTCAGACGTGTAGT